TCCCCACACTTCCAGAGGTGTCGCCAAATAAGTCTTTAGACCCTAGGGCACTCAAACAGCAGCCTGAAGCTGTCCCCAAGTCTACAGACTGCCCCCTGGCACATCCATGTGTCTAACCAGCTGTTATACACATTACATTCCCATTACACGTGAAATGCATAGGAGGCCTAAAACCTAGGTGCGCCTCTTATGGGCTAAAAGCTGGTAAGGTTCACCATCGCCCTACTGCTGGCAGGCACATGCATGTGCCTAGGGTGATTTTGTACTGTCACAAGTAAACAGGACCCAAATAGTAAACACCAAAAACTGTTTCTATGCAGCTACATGCAAATCATTTGGGTGCTTGAAGGTGCAATAAGATTTAGCCCTTTCAGCCTAATAACTAGAGCCAGCTACATCACAATTTAGTTTCATGACAACTTCCAACATTTCAAAATGTATTTTCCTCCCCAGTGGGAAACACATTTTCACGCATTTTGGCTTCTAGGGTTCTCAAGGCCTTATTGCTGCTGTAAGTGATTCTGCATCCTCTGACACTGCTGGCCAGATGTTCAAAAACAGGGTCCTAACAGTGACATTTATATTTAGGCCGTTAAAATCTGTGACCTAGTTGTGGGGTTGTTGAGCCTCAAGCACGCCCACTGAGTAGGGATGGGGCATCAAAACTGAGCAGACCCGTGTACTAATAGTATGTATGGCCCCAGTTTGTGGCCTTATAATTACAGCTACCACCCCATATTAGGATGACCTACTGAGCAAGATTTGAATTCCACTCTGACTCCTGTGGGGGTCAGTGGTGGTAGCAGCCAGAAGCAGCTGCCACCACCACCTGAGCTGCTTAGAAAGTTGTGGGGCAGGCCAGGGGCTCTTGTCTCTTATGGGGGAATTTGAAGGGGCTCTCATCTCTTACAGGAGGGCTCAGTCCCCCCAAGCTCCTCCATATTTCGAACCCTGCTACTGAGTGATGTTTCCTGAACCAGCTCTGTCAACCTAAAGCAGAGGCTCTGGACTGAAGGAAGTGTTCTGGTGGACAGTCTCAACATAAAGGTAGTGTAACAAAATTCCTACTAATGTAGCTACTACAAACATTAGCACTACTCTTTATCACACACACACAATCATAATATTAATGGAATAAGTATGCTTCTTATTTCTCTATAGAAATGTGTTTGCAACCTCCAATACCCAATGCATAGGGGAAAGTTAACCCTAGCATAAGAATTTTTACATCTTGGAGCTAGATTCACTCATCTTTTAAGGAAGTTACCACGGCCTGTAACCTACAACTTATGACATTTCAGAAACCCCTGAGGTATATCAATGCTTCTCAAACTTTTAGGACCTGTGGCACCCCTCTATAATTTATGTGAATTGAGTGGCACCCTATTTCAAAAACTAACATAAATTACAGAGCTTACTGGCTTGCACAGGTGCGTGGCAGTGGGGATGGGGGAATCATTCAGGCAGGAACAAGACTGAGTTGATGCATATCTGCTTAGATTATTCACTTATAGATTCATAGATATTAGTGTCGGATGGGACCTCAACAAATCATCGAGTCTGACCCCCTCCCCCAGGCAGGAAAGAGCACTGGGGTCAGATGACCCCAGCCAGGTGCTCGTTCAGTCTCCTCTTAAAGACCCCCAAAGTCAGGGAGAGCACCACCTCCCTTGGAAGCCCATTCCAGATTCTGGCAACCCTTACCATAAAGGAGTTCTTCCTGATGTCTAACCTGAATCTGCTCTCTGTCAGTTTGTGGCCATTATTTCTAGTTATTCCAAGGGGTGCCCTGGTAAACAGAGAACATCTCCTATCCCTTGCTGTCCCCACCGAAGAATTTGTAGATGGCCACAAGATCACCTCTCAGCCTCCTCTTGCAGAAGATGAAGAGATCCAGGGCCCTCAATCTCTCCTCGTAGGGCCTTACCTGCAGGCCCCTAACCATATGAGTGGTCCTCCTCTAGACCCTGTCAAACTTATCCACTTCCCTCTTGAAGTACGGTGCCCAAAATTGGACACAGTACTCCAGCTGCACCCTCACCAGTGTCACAGAGGGGAAGTATCACCTCCCTGGACCTGTTTGTGATGCACCTGCTAATGCATAATAAAGTGCAGTTAGCTTTACTGATCACTTCATCACACTGACAACTCATGTTCATCTTGGAGTCAACTATGACTCTGAGATCCCTTTCTGCTACAGTGCTGCTGAGAGGGTCATCCCCCAACCTGTAAGTGTGTTGGTGATTCCTTCTCCCTAGGTGCAGCACTTTGCATTTGTCCTTGTTGAATTGCATCCTATTCTGTTCTGCCCACTTCTCCAACCAGTCCAGATTTGCCTGGATTCATTCCGTGACCACTAGTATGTTTAATTTACCCCTTAATTTGGTGTCATCCATGAATTTGGACAGAGTGCTCTCCACGCCCTCATGCAAGTCACTGTGGAAGACATTGAACAGCACTGGTCCAAGGACCGAACCTTGGGGAACTCCGCTGCCCACATCTTTCCAGGTCAATGCCAACCCATCCACCACCACTCTCTGGGTGCGTCCCATTAGCCAATCTGCCACCCACCTGACCATGTAATCATCTACATCACAGCTGCTCAGTTTATTTATGAGAATAGGATGAGATACCATATCAAAAGCTTTCTTACAATCCAGGTAGATGACATCTACCTCATCCTCTGCATCTAAGCATTTTGTTACCTGGTCATAAAAAGAAACAAGGTTAGTCAGGAAGGATCTACCTGCTACGAACCTGTGCTGGTTGCCCTCCAGCATTCTTTTCCCTGCTGGACTCCAACAAATGTGATCGCTAATAGTTTTTTCAAAGGTTTTCCCAAGGATAGAGGTGAGGCCAACTCGCCTATAGATACCCGGATCCTCCTTCCTCCCCTTCTTGAAAATAGGAACCACATTGGCCCCTTTCCAATTCTCTGGGACTTGACCTGAGCACCATCAGGGCTCAAACAACTGTGCCAGTGGTTCTGCTATGACACTGGCCAATTTCTTCAGCACCCTCGGATGAAGATCATCTGGGCCTGCTGACTTAAACACATCCAGCCCCTCCAAGTGTCCCTGCACTAAGTCAGCGGTAACAGTTGGTGGGCTGGTTTCCCTCCTGTACTTGTCTCTAATCCAATTGGCAGATTTGTCCTGATCCGTGTTCAGGAATATGGAACCAAAAAAACTCATTGAAAAGCTTAGCTTTGTCCCTCCTATGTGTCGCCAATTGCCCTAGTCTGTCCTGTTGGAGTCCTATGTTACCCTGCACCTTCTTTTTGCTCCCTATGTACCTGTAGAAGGAGTTTTGTTGTCTTTAATTTTCATTGCCAGCCTAAGTCCCATTGCAGTTTTGGCCTTTCTAACTGACTCCTGCAAGTGCCTAGTAAGTGTACTCCTCCTTGGTACTTACCCCCTGCTTCCACAGCCTGTGTGCCTCTTTTTTGCCCCTAAGCTTTCCTTGATTTCCCTGTTCAGCCAAGACGGTTTCTTGGCCCCTTTGCCCCCTTTCATGCGCAATGGGATTATCTCCAGGGGCAACACATAGCGGATGCACATGGTTGCACATACACCCCCTGAGCATGGCGGTGCGCCCCCTGCAAAAAGGGGCAGCGGCACCTGCAGGTGGTTGCCACTCACCATCCCGCCACCGACACCACTGGCGGCATCTGCAGGCGGTCCATGATCACCACTGGCTGCTGCTAGCGCTGCCAGCGGTGCCTGCAGGTGGTCGCCAACCCCTGGTCAGTGCCCAGCACCGCACCCCCACCCCCACCGCCGACAGTGCTGGCAACGTATGCAAGAGCTCCGCATTTAGAGCTGCCAGGCTCCTGCCACGCTCCCGCCACACTCCCACCACTGCCAACACAGCCATGCCTCCCCAGCTGCCAGGGGCACGCTGTTCATGATTGTCTCCTTCTATGCCTGATGGATTGCTCCCTTTAGGAATGACCACCCTTCCTGGACTCCCATCTCACCAATGCCCCTGATCATCAGTGCCTCACTAACCAATCTCCTAGACATGTTGAAGATGGCCTTCCTGAAGTTTAGCACTTCTGCCCTACTGGTTATCTTTCCCACCCTTCGCCAGATAGTAAATTCAATCAGTTGATGGTCACTATCCCCTAGGTTCCCTTGTATCCATAGGCAACTGGTAGGGGGTGCACGGAGGTGCACGTGCCCCCCCCCCCCCCGAAGGAGCTGGTGCCCCCCTTGACAGCTAACACTGATGCTGTCGGTAGGGCTGGTGCCCCCCTGACAGGGCTGCTGCCATCAGCAGCTTCTGCAGGTGCCCCCCCACCCCAGATTCCGGAGGCACCAGTCACTCATGCTTGTATCTGCAGATCCCCTACAAATACAACAGTTTTGTTGATGCCATTCATGTCTCTGAGGAAAGAGGTGTGATTTACAGAAATATGCAATTTCGTTTTTTACTTAAAAGCTATTTCAGCAAAAAATAAAACTTCAGAAAAACTCTGAAACATTCCCTGTGTTTCTTTGGAATTTACCAAAAAACATCCAAAACACAAAAGCATTTTTTCACTCAAAATGACATTGGGTTTTGATATTTCTAATTTATTTTAAAACCTGTTTTAAAAGTTGAAACCGAAATGAAATGCTTAAATGTCAATAAACCAAAATATTCTGAGAAACATGAAATCAGTTTTTGTTGTTTTTTCATTCCTGAATATTTTAACTTTTCAGAACTGCTGGTAAACCAGAACTCTCAATATTTGCTGAGCTCTAATACCTAGATTCCTGCACTGTATTGAAAATCTCAATAAAAGTCTCTAAGCTTAATTAAAATTGTAGAAGCACATGAAGAAATGCATTAGAATCTGTGAACAGTTTAGGTTATGACTCATTGTCAACTACTTCAGTGTCCTCATAATCAAAAGTGTCATTTAAAATACAGACAAGTTCATAGTTCATGCTGCGGTAGCATATTAAAGTCACTTCAGTCGTTGCTGGTTTTGTACAAGCACAGATCTTGGCTCCTCAGGAGCTACAACCCTCTGCTGCTAAATTACCTTCCTGTGGGAAAAAAAAAATCATTTCTTTGACCCTGTTGAAAGCATTCTTCACCTCCTTGTTCCTCAGACTGTAGATCAGGGTGTTCAACATGGGGGTCACCACTGTGTAGAACACAGAGACCACTTTGTTCTGATCCCGTGAATTTTTCGTGTTCGGCTGTAAATATATAAATAGTCCAGTTCCATAAAATATGATGACAGCTGTCAGGTGGGAGGCACAGGTGGAGAAGGCTTTGCACTTTCCTTCAGCAGATCGGATCTTCAGGATAGTGGAGATGATAAAAATGTAGGAGATGAGGACAATCAGGGTGCTGACCACTCCAAACAAAAACGTCACAAACAAAAGTATAACATGATGAATCCTGGTATCAGAGCATGAGAGCAAAATCATAGAAGAGATGTCACAGAAGAACAGGTCAATGACCATGGGGCCACAAAAAGACATTTTCAACATACCAACTGCTTGTATCATTGCATTCATGCAGCCAGTGAAGAATGACCCAGCCACCAGTTGGCCACAGAGTCTTGGGGACATGACCGTATAGAGCAGTGGGTTACAGATGGCTGCATACCGGTCATAGGCCATCACAGCAAGGAGAAAACACTCCATAACCAGAAGGATACTGACAATACAGAGCTGAGACACACAGGCTGAATAAGATATGGCTCTCCTCTCTGCTATCAAGTCAGATAACAGTTTAGGAGTAATGCACGTGGAGTATAAAATATCTACAAAAGCTAAATTGCTGAGTAAAAAGTACATAGGAATGTGAAGCTGAGGGTCAATCCTGAATAGTATTATCATCCCAAGATTCCCAACCAAGGTGATGATATAAATTGCTAGGAAGAGCACAAAGAAGGTGACCTGAAACTCTGGATGATCTGTGAATCCTGAGAAAATGAACTCAGTTGCTTCAGTACAATTTCCCCAGGTCATTTTTCCAGTGCAGGGTCCCTGGATGAAAAAAAACAGGAAGAAAAACAGCAACTAATTGCTTCCAATCTGCACCTCAAGATACCAATAATATAAGACCACTTCTGCTTCTAGGTCCTGCAGGATCATGTTTTCCTGATGTTATTTTACCACTAGAGGCAAGAATTGTGCTCTGAAACCTGAAGCTATAGTGTTTATATTTGGTTTTGGATTCAGTGGCCTTTGATCAAATGTCTGCTGAAATCTCTCTCCCCAAATTAATTTGAACCTTGGCTTAGGTACCATGATACTCTCAAGGGGGACATCTACATGAGACGCTTACTGAGGAGTTGCCTAATTAGCTCTGCAGTAACCTGTCACTGTCTACATGTGCAGAGCTATTAGGTCAGAGTAAACTAATTAACTTGGCCATAGGATAGTACTGCCCGATACAAGTATTATCCTACAGCAGAATTATTTACTCTACCACAAGATGTGTAGATGTTGATGGGGTCGCTAGTTCAGGAGGGTACTGCAGTAAGGGGGATGCCTGCCAGCTAACCCCTCACTGGAGCACCCTCATGCCCAAGCCAGCCCTCCACAGCACATTGAGCTGAGTTGGAGCAGCCCCAGACTGGCAGACTGAACCCTTGGTTCTCCTATCAGCTGGGACTGCACCACTCCTGCTCAGTGTGCCGCAGTCCTGAGCGCACATGTAAACAATATGTCCGGGAGCAATAAACTAGCATGAACTGTGCCGGAGCTTATTGTGTTGCACTAATTTCACCTGTAGACATATCCAGGGAGACTGAAACATATCTGAAATAACACAGGTTGAAGAATATAATTTTGCAATGTAACCGAGCAATAAAAATGATAACAAAGTTTTAGAATGAGCATGAAAATCAGAGCTGATGATGAAAAAAAATTAAAATATATGATACTGAAAAAAGAAAAGTGCTTTTTGGGGGAGGGTTGTTGAAGAATCCTCAGAAATGCTGACACAGAGCATGTTCTGTAGAAACATCTGTTTTCATAAAAAAGCCTTTTTTCCTTATTTTTAATTTAAAAGTTTTGACCAGCTTTCATGCAAAGGCATCATGTCAAAGAGAATAAAGATAGTTGTCCTTTTCTATATGTCCCTTTCACCTACATAATATTATATTTAATCTCAGCAGACAGTTTCTTACCAGAAAAACACTGACACATTTGTAAGTGTTGAGAGACAGAATAACAAAAATCACCTGGGAATTGAGGGGCTGACATGTGGGTTACAACTACAAAAGAACCCAATCTGTCTAGCTTGAGCAACGATTAAATGGCCCAAGAGTTTCACACTGAGTTCTGCTAGATTCTGGAACAGATTCTAATGGGAAGTTGGCAGCACTAGAATACCACAACCGAAATAACCTAAATCAACTGTAATACACTCTGCTGCATTGGCAGGGAAATAAGATTAGACTTCCCACCTGACAAAATCTTCCCCCTTCTTATGAAGGCTACTTCTCTACTTTTCCCCTTCCTTCCTCTCCCTTTCTCAGTATGGCTCTTTCCTTCTCTTAATAAATAAATATGAGTCAGAAAGTGAAAAAAGCTCCCAGGAAAATACCTTAGTTCCCTTCCTATAGTATCACAAGCTCTCATTTCAATTAAAAGGGACAATGCTTTGAAACTGACCTGTTTCCCCATAACATCTTTTTGTTTTACCCCTCTTCTCCTATTCTAAGAGGGAAGGAAACACAGCAGCATGTAATCAGCACCATAAACTGTGTCATAGTCTCAAGTGTTCTCCTGCTTTCTAAATATACCACATTCCCCTTGACTCTGGAGATCCACTATGGGGAACTGAAAGTTATACAGGACTCTAATGACCCTGAGAGGAGAGATCCTGGGAACATTTTAGTTTTGTTATAGAAACATTTCGTAACACAAAGGTGAGCAGAACTGGCCAAATGAATACTGGGAAGAATTGGGCATTATTTTGCCAAAATACATAAATTACACCTGTACATTTGTTGCACCACAGTGTTCTGCAATAAGAGGGCCTGTCAGTCCTACAGGTATCCTGCAATGCAAAACTACACCCTTCCACCATGGCTCCAACTAGTCACTTTGTGATTCAGGTGAAAATGTAGTACCAAACTCACAGGTCACAGATGGCCTTGCCCACCTACTCACTTCCCAGCTTTAGGGTAGGCCACCCATTCTACGCTTCACTTTCCAGTGCAGTTGTTGGGGCTTGCAGCGACAGCAGTTCAAGTACCCTTTCCAGTTCTGTGACATACCCAAGATCAGCTAATATTCACAATGCCTGTCCCACCTACTTCCAGGAGATCCTTGAACTGTGCCAATAACTGGAGTTAGGAGGAAATGATGGACTTGTTTGTCATCTGGGGTGAGGAGTCCCAGACACTGGAACCAGCTCAAGTTCAAGCAGATTGCTGCTAAAATGTTGCTGAGAGACAATACTTGGACTGGCAGCAGTGCTGCTCAAAGACCAAGGTACTGAAGTGCTGGTACAAGGAGGCCCAAGATGCCAATCGTGTCTCCAGTTTCAGCAGGGCAACACGCAGCTGCTACAATGAGCTTGCACACTTTCTTGCATGGGATGACTCTGTCCAGCCTTGCTTCATGGTCGACACTGCCAATCAGGCTCAAGCCACAAAAAAGGATTCTCATGCCACCCAGTTCAAGGAGAGAGAGGCTCACCCTGCCTCACAATAGCCCAGAAGCTGCCACAAGAAGACTGATATTGGGCAGCTCAAACTATTCGAGGACCCCTTACCCTCAATGTCACACCAGTCCATGCTACCAAGTTCTGAGCCCCGCTCCCAGCTCACCAATTGTCAGCCCCAGGACAGCATGCTTTCACCCTCACTGCTTGCTATGGTGTCCACAACACTGCCTCCCTCAAAGTTACAGACACAAGTAACAACTGCACAGTCCTCCTAGTGCCTTGGATCCAATCGCTGAGAAGCACCCCACAGACACCCATTACTGCCTGCCATCAGTAAGTTTAAGCATGCCATTCTTCTTGCACTACAATTCACAAGGGAGTTGTACCCCACCCAAGAAGGAAAAGTGGGCACATGGAGAGGGGCCCCCAAAACTTGCCTCGTTTTCCCCAAATAGCAGCTGATCTGGATGCCATGGTGCTGGTGTATGTAGCCAAATATGAGTGGTGAGCACAAGCTGATAGTGCAAACTGGTTTTGTGTGAGCTCTTGCAAATGCTGGTTCTTGGGTTCCCCCAAAACATGATGCAGTTTCCCAGGATGGCAGCCAATCTGGGCACCATGGTGCCAGTGTACATAGCTGATTATAGATGGTGCACATGGGGCAATAAGTAAGCACTCTTGCTGCTCCTGTTTGGGATCCCGCTAATCCTTCTGTGGTCCCCAAAAGCATCCCCTAAACCCCATTCATCCCCCCCAAGCATCTTTTGACCTGCGCAGGGTGGGGTCAATTCAAATGGAGGGGGCAATTAAGGTGGTCCATTGTGTATGTGAGGCCTGTCTATAATGGAGATTATGTCACCATTGTACAGTGGCTCCCTATCATTTCACCTACAATTGACAGGCACTTAGGATTATTGCCTACCTCACACCTCATTCATGCAATGGTCTAATGGGTTAAAGAAAAGAAAAGGGCTCGGTAAGTAAGCCCTTTCCCAATGGAGAGCTAGCCACATGCCCAGATCTTGAGGTAAGATCCCAGGCAGGGTGCCCAGCAAACTCCACCCCACCAGGACTGCAAGGCAAAGAGCTGGTAAATCTCCATTCCATCCTCTCCAGGCTAACAGTGCAACCTGTGAGCCTTCTGGGGAGGAAAGTAACCAGGCACTTCTAGCAACAGGGTGGGAGTAGCATACCTGGGTAGACAGGAAATTTTTTCCATGCTCGGGATTCCTTGGGAACCTCCAAACACCAGGCCACTGCAAGGCCTGTATGCTATCGCCACCTACCTGGTGGCTGGGCAGAAGCACTACACTACATGCTGCCACTCACTGGAAGCAGCATGTTTATCCACCCTGAAGTGCTACATTTTGGAACCACATCAAACCCTCTGACAATTTGACCCACTACAAATGGTATGTCTGCCTGCACCCTCAGTGTAGCTCATAGAGGGTGTGTCTACACATGCAAATGATACTGGATGGGTTTACTCCAGAGTACTACACATCTACACGTGCAGAGATTTGGAAGCAGATTTGCTGCTCCTGGCAGCAATCTGCTCCCACCCCCTCCAGCCCTGCATCAGTCCCCTGTAACAGCCAGGGGGAGCTGGAGGCTCGGGCCATAGCTGCCTGTGTCTGATGGCCATGTTTAAAAGCCAGCCCCACTCCCTTCTCCCTGGCCACCTGACTTCCTGGCTCGGAGCAGCCTGCAGGGCATTCTGCCAGCATGCTGCAACTCTGTCACAGGAGCCTGTGGCCACTGTGCCATGGCTGCTCCATCCCCAAGCCCCAGCAGTAACGTCTAGCATCCCAGATTCCCACTGGACACCCTGGTTACCCTGTTGTGCTGCTGCGGTGACCACCGCCTGGCCCAAGTTAGACTCAGCCCTAGTAGCCCCCAGCATGGCACAGCCACCTAGCCAGGCTCACCGTGCTGTACCAGGCCTCCTGCCACCACACTGCTGCCACCCAGACCCCATGCTGCTGCCTGAATCCCATCAGGGATACCAACAATGTACACTTGAACACCACCACTGGTGCTGTCCATGTGCTCCTGGGCCTCCAGCTCTACCGCCTGTGGGCCTGCCCAGCCAGTCAGAACTGGAGGATGCACATAGGCCACCTGGATGACCAGCCCTAGACCCCAACCCCACTGCGTACCCCCAGTACTATGATCACTGCATCCAGTTCTCAGGGAAGCATTTTATTCCCCCCTACAATCACAGAATGCCCTCCCCTCTTCCTACCCAACAACAGAGCCCTTCTGCCCTCCCTACCAGACCCCATTCCCCACCCCCCACTCCCCACTCCCCACAGAGCCTTTCCACCACTCACCCTACCGCCATCAA